TAATAGTTTTTCCTCTTTTTATTTCTTTTTCCACTCCCTTACTGGATTTTCCTCCATCATTGTCTCCATCATTAATAGAATCATCGTGAGGGTGCTCCTCGTTACTAGCCATCTAACCTGTAATAAAGAAAAACATTAGTATCTAATCACAAATATTTAATTCCAAATATCTATTCAGTATATAAAATGACAAATATCAATTGAGTATATAAAATGACAAATATCAATTGAGTATATAAAATGAAAAATATCAATTGAGTATATAAAATGACAAATATATAATTTATTAGAAGTTTTCTAAGTGTTAACAGGTATGGAGGAATATATATTACCTCTTTCACTAACATCTCTTTATTTTCTTGGTTGGATTCCGAATTACTTATCTCTTAAGAACGCGGACGGAGGGATTGATCCAAATTCCCTCATCATGATCTTTTCTGATATATGATTCATCCGCTGTAGTATCATCATCTCGATCGTTTCTAATATACGACTCATTCTCAACATCAACATCAACTTGATCCACACTTTTATCATCAATCACTTTGTTAGATAAAAGCACTATAGACCATTTCGTACTCTTCGGGTCTGTGACATAGAACACTTGTTTAATTTGAGAGGCTAGAATAAAAGGCTCATCTTTGTACCCCACCCTACTAAGACCCACTTGCAAAAACCCTGACTTATCCATTCGTATGCCACTAGTATGTACCCACTTGCAACCAAAGATAGGAATATGAAACTTCTCATAATCAAACACCCAGATATGATTGATAACCCCGAAATATGACAAATTTTCATATTTGGGGTTTAAGTCCTTCATACCAGAAATGTGCATTGCTTCACATACCACCGTGACACCACTATTTTGCATGGTACTTTTCTCATCTTGTTCTTTGGTATAAAATGTGTATCCATTAATTCTGTATCCTCTATAAGAGAACACAATCGAACTTGGACCATATGCCAAACATCTCAACCTGTCTAATATTAAAGCGGGATCTGAATGAAACTTTAAATATATATGATCCTTAAACCACTGTATAAAACTTTGATTGTGCTCTCGTACTATCCAATTTTCATTTCTACTTTGATTCTCACCTCGGAGTATAGCCATGTGCATTTCAACAAACGGCTCAACCTCAGTGTCATTGTGCAGAACATACAAATGCACTTGATCCCATTCATCCCTTGATACTGTCACAATTTCATTTCCAATTAATTTTTTACCTTCTTTTTTTTCTCGAAAAAATGAGATTTGGGGAGTCCAATGGATTGCACATTGGACAAAAATCAGTACAAAACTCAACCGCTTCTTCAACAACGTATCGCTCAATGATACAACCCTCTGGACGACTTCGGTTTTTCACGTACCCTTTTAATATTTTCATATAACGTTTAACAGGGTACATCCATCTCATATAAGCTGGTCCACACAATTGTGTCTCTTTCACAAGATGAACAACAAGATGTACCATAATGTCAAAAAATGATGGAGGAAAATACATTTCAAGGTCACACAGAGTAATAAAGATTTCTTTTTGTAATACTGGTAAGATCTCAGGATCGATCACATTACTACAAATTGACCTGAAAAAAAAACACAATTTAGTTATAGCGCTTCTTACTTTTTCTGGCAAAATAGAACGTATACCTATTGGTAGAAAATGTTCCATTATGACATGGCAATCATGTGTCTTCAGACTCTTTAACTTGAGGTCTTTCATGGACACGAGTCTTCTAATGTATGAGGAGTAACCTTCTGGAACTTTAACTTCACTCAGAAACTTACACGATATTTTCTTTTCCTTTCTAGATAGAGTATAAGAAGCAGGTGGTAGATATGTTCGTCTTCCTTTCTTCACGGGTCCTAATTCAGTTCTTATTCCCATCTCTACCATGTCCTCTCTTGCTTTAAGGACATCCTTAGACTTTCCTTTTATATTGAGTAACGTACCAATAACACTTTCAAATACATTTTTTTCAATATGCATAACATCAAGAAAATGTCTTACGTACAAAGATTTGCAATATGGCAATTCAAAAAAAATTGACCTCTTCTTCCACCCACCTGTGACAACTTTATGTGCAAAAGGCTTGCCAAACTGAATACTCACATCTTTCACCTTTTCACAAATTTGATCACCTGTCAATCCAGGTGGAGCTCTACGTTGTTCGGTATTTCCATTGAACGCTTTTCTCCATCCACGATATTGATGTTTTGAATTTAAGAATCTACGATGACCGAGAAAGACATTCTTTTGACAAAGTTTCAATCGTGTCGTATCGGTTCCATCTTCACAGACAGGACACGCTTTTTCACCTTTAATGCTATACCCGGATAGATTTCCATATGCTGGAAAATCGTTAATTGTGCCAAACAACATCGCCCTTAAATTGAAACTTTCTTTCCTATATCCATCATAAACCTCCACACTGTTCTCCCACAAAATCTTCAAATCTTCGATTAAAGGTTTCAAGTATACATCTATGTCATTCCCTGGTTGTTTAGGCCCAGAAATTAACATAGATAACATCATGTACTTGCGCTTCATACATAGCCATGGAGGTAGGTTATAAATCATAAGAATTACAGGCCATGTGGAATGTGAGATACTTTGAAGACCATGCGGGTTCATTCCATCCGTAGATAATGCCAAGCGAAGGTTTCTTGTTTCTCCTCCAAAATCAGGATAATCATTATCAATTTTCTTCCACTGTGGTGCATTTGCCGGATGTCGAAACTTTCCATCGATAATTATTTCATCTGCATGCCAAGTCAAGTGTCTAGCATCGGTTTCACTACGAAACATGCATCTAAATCTCGAAATAATAGGAAAATACCATAAGACTTTCGCTGGAGATAATTTTTTCTTATATCGAGATAAACCGCACTTTGGGCACTCATTCAATGATGCATATTCGTTTCGAAACAAAATACAATCATTTAGACATGCATGTATCTTATCATAGCTCATGCCAATAGAGCACAACATTTTTTTGGCCTCGTAGGTTTGATTAGGAAGAACATTATCCTCAGGAAGCATATCTCTCAAAAGGGCTAATAACTGTGTGAAACTTTTATCTGACCATCCATTGCGCGCCTTTAAGTTGTACAATTTTAATACCGCAAACAATCTTGTGAATTTGGGGCAATCTTTATACAACGGTTTCTCCGCATCGCTTACCAACCTCTCAAACATTTTGGGACAATCTTGAAGATCTTCTTCAAGTGCTTCTGCAATCTCTTCCACCCGATCACAATCATATGTATCCGTGGCATTGTCGTACGAAACATAGGTCGCATTACTTTTCACCCCCGGTTCAACATTCTCGATGCTTTTCTCACCATGAAATATCCAACACGTATAACTTCGATCAATTCCGCGCATTAGTAAATGCGATTTCAATCCATTTGCATCAACCCGACCCACATAACAACAACCCAAGCAAGGACATTTCATTCTATTCGGGTCTTCAGCGTGTTCAACAACAAACTTAACAAACTCTAATACCCCATCCTCGTACTCTTTTGACAATCGATCGGCACACATCCATTTTTTATCCATGGTTTTAACTATTATCTAAGTTAAAGACTCTGTGTTGTCAACAAAAATCAAACATGTGATTAGAACAATTCTAGAAATGAGGATTGTTGTGGTCCTATAACATATTCAATCAATGATCGTCAACGTTACAATTTTAGAGACATTAGCTTAGTTGTGAACTCATTCTAAGATTCATGATTTGCGTTATTTTTTACTATTACTAAGTTGAATATTAGATGGGGGATTTACATGATATGATTCCTTTGTTTCTTGTAGGCATGTCTACATGAGCTAAGCATACATTATGAGAAACAGAAAAGAAACAATGTAGGGAAATTAAGTGTCATGTTTAATGGTATTTTGACTAGTCCATAATATATCTTAGATTTTAAAAAAATCAAAATAAAAGTTTCAAAAGAGAGAATAGAAACCATAATACCTAAGGTTCCTCGGCTTTTACTCGCGGAGATTGTTAATTTTCTATTTTGCCGTAAGAAGAAAAACAATAAGAAGATGAAGATTCCAGCAAGAGCAGAAGAAGCAATCAATGCTAGTAGAATTCTCTTATTCAAATTCTGGTGATGCACTATTCTAACATCTTGATTTCCTGTATCATTCATTGTAAAAACAATACATCAAACTCATTAGTCTCGTTAAACCAACTCAGTTAATTGCTGTGCAGAAATATAAGATATATTAAAATTGACATATGGGTTTGCATGATGCATATTTTCCAGTTTTGTATGATGCATTTTTTTCTTTGATTTTTACTGCATATCATCTGTTCTTGGGGTTAAACAGAATTATCTGTGAAACTATGCATAGGAAAAGGGGGTCAAACTAAAAGCTTATTATCATAATTGTACTACAAATGTACAAATAGTAGTTTTAATCTTCAAACATGATTTTCACTCAAACTTATTGTTCAACTCACCTATCATATGTGCACATATCCATACATTAATCAATTTATCTTAAATTCACATTTATGATTTAACTAAAATCAATCTCCACCCCCACTAGAAACTAACACACATTGGTATATCTAGTAGCACCACATAACAAATAGTAGCATGTTGTGCCCATAAATCAAACCAAATTACTTCTGTTCTAGTTAGCTCTAGTTAAAATAATATTAATTTCCGTATAATGCTGATAATAAATGTGTTTTCTTATTATTGTAAGAAGACATAATAACTTATTCTATCATGTATCTCTTATCTTATCATCAAATAACCCCTAAGATTTTTGTTCATATAAGCACGAGTATATAAAGGAGCTAATGTTTACAAAAATATTTGCAGGCAATAAGTAATAATGTTTATAACTTAAAAATATGCTAGTATATATTTAGAATAAGAAACCTAAAAATTTAGAATAAGAAACCTAAATTTCGAATAAGAAACCTAAAAATTGTAACATTCTAAAACTGCATATTATCAATTTCACATATCACTCAACAACTCTTTCATTATTTTGGAGCATCTCAACCACCTGACTCATATTAGGCCTAATATCCATATCTTCCTCTACACATTCCAAAGCAACTCTAACCAAAATGTCCATCTTACTTAAATCACAACTAGTCCCAATTGCTGGATCCAAAATTTCTTCCACCCAACATTGACTCCTCTTTTTCTCTCTCACCCAACTTATCAAACTTCCATTGTATGTCATTTCTCCATCCTCTCCTTCTATATTCATTAATGTTGGATTCTTTCCAGTTATCATCTCTAACACAACAATCCCATAACTATAAACATCTACTTTAGATGTTATTGGTAAATGGAAAATCCATTCAGGGGCCATGTATCCTCTTGTTCCTCTAATCATTGAGAATTTTGAGTTATTATTGAGATCGTTTCTATTTTTCAGCTTAGACAATCCAAAATATGCTAACTTGGGCTGAAAGTTAGAATCAAGAAGTATGTTTTGTGGCTTTATATCACAATCTAAAATCCACTCCAAACATTCTTCATGTAGATAAGCTAGAACTCTAGATATTCCTAAAGCGATATCATACCTTTTACTCCAATCAAGTGTGTTGGTTTTAGATGAAAGATTTTCAGCTAAAGAGCCATTTTCCATGTACTCATATACCAAAATTCTATGCTTACCTTCAATAAAATATCCCCACATTTCAATCAAGTTCATGTGATTAAGCCTTCCGATGATGCTTACCTCGGCTTGAAACTTTCATTCTCCTTGTTTAGCTTCATTCAATCTCTTTATTGCAACATCTCTTTGATCTGGCAATGTACCTCTATAGACAACCCCTCCTCCACCTCTTCCAATCTCATTACTAAAATTATTTGTAGCTACCTTCAACTCATAATAACTATACCTTCTAAATCCCAATATTGCATGATGATAACTATTTTGATTTCCACTAGACTTTTTTTTGGTTTTATTTAAACAAACCCCAACTACAATAAAGAAAACAAATTCTAAACCACCAACTGCAATTGAAATCCACAAAAAAAACCTCACCAAATTATCTGTTGGCTTTCTGAAATAGTGTTTAGAAAGCTGCACTAAACAAATGTGATCTTTTACACTCATAGACTCTTGTTTTGAGAAGTTCTTGCCTTTTGGAAGTCTCAAGTAAGTTGTTCCTGGAAAAGTTGGTGAATGCCTCCCATTCAACAATTGTAGCTTTGTATATCATTAAAAGATGTTACTGCCATCTTTATATGTGTATTGGAATCCTGTACAGTTACATTGTTGTAAACACAAACTTTAAGGTACATAAATACTTTGCAAAGTATCTTGCATCTTAGAACAGTCACTCAAACTTGTATGTTCTTAATATTTGAAACTGAAGTAAATATATGTATGCTACTTGTGTTTCAGTTTTGAAAATAATGCACTCAACGGCCCAGAACTGAAAGGACTGGTTCCTTATGACTTTGGATGCTAAGAAAGGTTGAAGAATACTGGCCTTCTCAGATTACTATGAAGAGGCTTCTTTACCTGGGCAACTAGTAATATCAGAGATGTATGATTGCTACAAAATGAATCTAAGTATGTCAAAATATATCTAATAGTAAATAAGATGATAGTAGCATTTGTCTCTCTGGTTCTAGGCTGCATAGCAAGACTAGGATCATGTTGAGTGTCAAGTAAATGTGTTTGGTTGTAATTTATTCCTTTTTATATACTTAGATCAAGCAAAAGGCTTTAAAATTTTGTTTTTGTTTCCTGGATATTAACCGGACAACAACCCTTTTCATTTTGATGCTCTGCTTTGTTTCAAAACCAAAGAAACACATTTGCTTAAAATTAAAATGCTTTAGAAAATGATTGAATGTGGGGCTTCTAATTATGCTCCTTCAAACTCAAAAGGATCCAAGTGGTTTTCTGCCTAATTCTTCTGTTTAATTTGCATAGTCAAGCACCATGTTGATACAAAATCAGTAAAATACAGCTTTAAAAACGATACTTAGAAAATGCAGCAATCTACAATTGAGAGTGGTGTAAAATTTATTTTAATGGTAGATGTGAAACAAAATCAAATCTCTAAACCATGGTAGATGCAGAAACAAACATATTCAGCCATGCTACAAGTACAACTGCCTCGCTGCTCTTTGAACATTTGTTTTACCCTGACCTCTCTAACAACATATTCAAAAACCATATTCATTTCTTGCTACCTCAACAAAATATGTAACAATTTTATCATCTTATGTCAAGATAAGATGCTAGCTAGATTGGCATAATTCCACAATCAAAATCCAAACAACTATAACCTGTTCAGTAAGTCCAATGAAAAATGCAATACAACAGAATAAAATCACAAGAGTGTTCTACGAAAGATAATATTTGTCATAGAGAAATGAATGATCATTTTATCACCAACACGCAAAGTCGCAACAACAGTTCAAATTCAATTGCAAAAGTTCACATAGAACAAAAGAAAAAGTGAAGTAAAATTTAACCTAAATAAAGAAACGCAGAAAAGAAAAACGGTTGAGAATGAAATAAACAACAAAAAATAGAGAAAGAAAGAAAAGAGAATACTCTATCAACGAAGCGAGCGTCAAAATCAGCAGAATGAGAACCATTGAGTTTGCCTTCAAGTTCGCATTGAATCTTGAGATGTTTAGAAGCAGAGTTGGAGATGGTGGTAACGAATCCGAACGAAGCGAGTTGGAGAAGAAGATGAACCACGTCCACGATGAGGAGGGAGGAGACGAGTTAGACGAAGATGAACAATTGCGTGTATAAAGTGGGGTTTTGTATAAAGTGGGGTTTCTGATAACCAATTTAGGGATTTAGAAATTTTTTAATTACCTTAGACAACGCTTTCAAGAAGCGTTGCTAAAGGTATTACCTTTAGCAGCGCTTTAGTGTAATGCCTTTTGTAACACCCTCTAAAAACCCCGAATAAATTTTCGCGAAAAATTAAAATTATAATTTCAGAGTACATGTATCAACGAGGATGTCACAATTCTCTCTTAATAAAAACAAGTTCCTGTCATGCATAACATAGAAGCAACTCATACATGTTTACACAGCGGAATAATTTAATTAACAAAATCAATGTTATAATATTTTCAAAATCATCAGGGATTAACACCTGGAAAATATCAACATCATATTATAACAACGTAAGGAAATAAACGAGTCTGACTAAAGCAGCTCGACAAACAAACGTTCCCGGAGTTACAACTATCAGAGCATGACCCGGACAATATTTAAACGGAAATAAACTAGAAACAACAAGCCTTCGCCAAGCACCTGAACGAAGCTCCTCAATCTGAAATATTCAACAGTAAGGGTGAGCATCTCAACTATACATTTGATTATACGTTCATAACAATCAATTCAGGAAACCATAAGCATCACCCAACAATTAGCATGTTTTATAGATTACAAAAACCTTTACAATTTATATATTCATAATATCTTACTTTTCATGCTTATAGTTAACATCAAACATCGTTAACAATTTAGTAACAATACATGCATACAATCAATCAAATACAACATTGGAAAAATCATCCATTCATGTCATATTCAATGTTATGCAACACACCCATGCATGAGGTACCATTTTACCGCCCCATAAATCTCGGGTCACGGATAACTCACCGTTCCATTATATCGCGGACACGGCTACCACCTCAACATTCCATTAAATCGCGGACACATATATTGGCCACCATGTTAATTCCACACAATGGGAATTAACAAATGCAACATGATATGTAAAGTATGTAACACTCAGCATACTATTAACATCAATCGACATATCATGCAACATCAACAATATCAAATATAACATGATCTGAATAGCATGTAATCATTCAGCATACTATTAAACATCAATCATATCAAGTTATATCATAATTCATGCTTGATACATCATCTAAAAGCATGACAATAAAATCCATATAGTGTTGGTATCATAACATACGATCGTTATTCGATACTAGCATCAATCAACACTAGGAAATCAATAAACACATATTCAAAACATGTCAAACACTGCACATCAAAACCGGATCAATCCGTACTTAACAGCATGCACAGAAAACATAGTTTAAAAACCAACACAAGAGGTTTAACACGGGTGCCCGTGTAAAACAACACTGCCCGTGTGGAAATGTGTCCAGAAAACACGTTTTTTTGACAATACAGGGGATCAACACGGGTGCCCGTGTGAATCAACACGGCCCGTGTTGAATTGTGCCCAGAAAACACATATTTATGCCAACACAGTGAATCAACACGGGCGCCCGTGTTAATCAACACGCCCGTGTTGAATTGTGGCCAGAAAACACATTTTTATCAGCATTACAGTGAATCAACACGGGTGCCCGTGTTAATCAACGCGCCCGTGTTGATGAGTGCGAACCCAAAATTTCCTGTACCTGCAGCAGCTCAGAACAGCATCCAGACACGAAAAATACCGGCCAAAACGTGCCTTTCGGTACATAACAACATCAATTGTGCATAACTCAAAGCAACACATCAATTAGGACTCAATTCCCTTCTACGTTAAATCAATTTCCAATCCTAAGGACAGCAGTATTTCACTTAAGGTCTCATTTTCCAAAATCAACCAAAACTCAGAATTTTCATTTTTAACACATACTATTTTATCAACATTCTTTCATCAACAACAAATTTTATTAAATTGACCTTAAGTTACATATTACCCGTCCTTTAGGGAAATTCTAACACATCAAGGTCATCCCTAGAACACCTAAGGTAAATTCACGATCATATGGATATACTCCAAATCCACCATTTGGGAACCTAAAGTCCTTAATCGATTCATAAAATTGGGAACCTAACCTTTTCTAACGGAATTCGACCCTAAAGTTATCGATCACTAAGAACGTCAGAGAAAATGTGATTATCCTACGATTGCCCAACCAATTGCATCTAAACCCATAAACAAATGTAAATTGAGTAGTAGCCCCCTTACCTTATCAAATTGCAGCTTGAGTTCTTGAGCGATGTTCTTCGTTCTTCTCACCTTCAGAGCTCTATTTCCCCAAATTTCCCAAACTCTGTGTTATCGTGAATAATGAGAAAAATAACTTGAGTTCCAAAACATATCCCTATTTCTTTTGCACCCCCACTCTTTTCTAACAACATCCAAGCCCAATAACTTAAAAAACCCAATATTTCTTATTTCTTTTATTTTCTTCAAATATTCCAAAATAAATAATTCTTTTTATTTTATTAATTCTAATAAAATAAATTCCCAATTAAATAAATCAAATAATTATAACTGGGGTGTTACAACTCTCCCCCACTAAAAGAGTTTTTGTCCTCGAAAACATACCTTAGACGAACAGTTCCGGATAAGCCTCTTTCATCTGGCTCTCCAGCTCCCAAGTGATATTTCCATCTGCTGGACCTCCCCAAGCAACCTTCACTAATGCTATCTCTTTACCCCTTAACTGTTTCACTTCCCGATCTTCTATCCTCATAGGCAATGCTTCTACTGTCAGGTTATCTCTCACCTGTACATCATCTATTTGGATTACATGAGATGGGTCTGGAATGTATCTCCTCAACTGAGAAACATGAAAAACATCGTGCAAATTCGCAAGTCTCGGAGGTAAAGCAATACGATAAGCAACTTCTCCAACTCTTTCCGTAATCTGAAACGGACCAATAAAACGCGGAGTCCACTTCTTAGATTTCAACGCTCGACCAATACCCGTCATCGGAGTAACTCTCATAAACACATGATCTCCAGCACTGAATTCTAAATTCTTTCTCCTCTTATCATGATAACTTTTCTGACGACTCTGAGAAGCTCTCATCTTCTCTTGAATCAATTTGATCTTTTCAGTAGTCTGCTGAACAATCTCTGGCCCAATTACTGAACTCTCTCCAGATTCGTACCAACACAAAGGCGTTCTACACCGTCTACCATACAATGCCTCAAACGGAGCCATACCAATACTCGAATGGTAACTATTGTTATAAGTAAATTCAATCAATGGCAAATAGCTATCCCAAGCTCCACCCTTCTCTAAAACACAAGCACGCAATAAATCTTCTAACGATTGAATCGTCCTCTCCGTCTGTCCATCAGTCTGAGGATGGTAAGCTGAACTCAACCTCAATTTAGTACCCAAAGCCTTCTGCAATCCTTCCCAAAATTTCGAAGTGAATCTCGGATCTCTATCTGACACAATACTA